GTTTGCGCGCTCTGTTTTTGCCATTGCTGCGTGTTTTTTTTTTTTTTTTTTTTTTCCCTCCCCCTTGTGGTCTGCCTTAAACATACTGTACTTGCTATATCTAGTAAGCTGTGCTTTCTCTTTTAAAGGCACACAAAACAAGTCCATGCCTGTTTTAATCTCATTAAGTTCCTCTCTAGCTGTTTCCCCTTTTGGTTGTGGATATTGCCCATATTTGGTTCTAGCTATGGTGCAATCAGTTTATATCTGATTGTGTGGTATGATATGCTGTCTTGCCTGAGCAAACCCCAATAATTTATGATTAGATGTGGCCTAGATTAGCAGCTTATGATTTTAATGCTTAAAAGTACATTATAAAACATCTTTTATGTAATGCAGTTTGTTATTTTTTCCTGTGAAAGATGCAACAAGAGGCACAAGGACTTGCCTGCAGCAAAGCTTCTGAATTAAAACCAAGCAGGGGGAAGGGATGGTATAAATTATACAGTTGCTTCCTTTAGAGTGCCTAAATAATGTGCCCTAAAATACAGAGATGGCAGTGCGTTACAGAAAACTATTCAATTTGGTTTAATAACAAGCTGCTTTCACAATCTCATAATCACAGCTCTCGTGAAAACACACGCTCTTATATTCTGCATGGTGTGTTTTATATACTTCTAAAATAAAAATTAAAAAAAAAATTGAACATCTGAAAGTGTATTTCTCTCCGAAACACTTTAGTGGCTTATTTGAAAGTACTTATGGTTTCAGTGAGTGCCATGGACTTCTAACCATGCTTTCTGCTGGCCTTCATGTTGGCAAACTATTTATTAATGAGAAATTGTCATTAGAGTTTTGTTTTCTTGTAGGTATTTGTTGTTCTACTTGTGTACGTGTATATTAATAAAATTAGGTGAATAAGAATACTCACTTAGTTTCTATAAGAAGAGAGTGGTAATCAGAACACTTGGTGATATTGCCTAAAATATTTTTAAACAAGCGTCTGTTTGGAAAGGCACACAGGTAAACTGTCCAGGTATCTTCCAGAGTTTCTTAGTCACAACATTGTGCTCGTCTTTCCAACTGAACTGTCTCTTTAGATCTTGCTGAGAAGATACAAGTGCTGCTTCACGTTCGCCATCGCCTGTATTAGCAGTGAGGGGAAAAGGTTGGGGAGCCATCTTTGCCTAACAAGTGGCATCTTGGAAATGCTACGTTTTGTCTTGAACAAGATCACGTTACTTACAGTTCCTGAGCAATACTTGAACTGTAAAGCTGAAGTTTTTCAACACGGCAAGCATATAATTATTTTGATGATGATTCCAGTGTATTTCAAATCCACTGTAAGACATAATTATCAGCTGTCATCTGGAGAAATGCTGAAAAATTGTTTCAGTATTAAATAAATATAGCTTGTGATATCTACCTTATAGTTAACAATCTAATGTTTTCACGCCCCAGCATCTTGTGGCTGTCCTTTGTGCTTTTGTACTTAACAACAACAAAGGGAGTTTGTTGGTTTGTTGTACTACTGTAATATATTCTGATTTGTAAGGGAGCATTCTAAAATGCATTTGCTCTTTAACAATACATTTCTTCTCTCAATAGCCAACTACTCCACCAAGCCAAGGGAGGCCTGATTCACCAGTTTATGCTAATTTACAAGAACTGAAAATATCTCAGTCTGCACTTCCACCGCTACCTACAAGTGCTCCGGTCCAAATAAATGGGGAATGGGAAACCCATAAAGATACGACAGGACGCTGTTATTACTACAACAGAGGATCACAGGAGCGAACCTGGAAACCTCCGCGGTGGGCCCGAGATGCAAGCATTAATAAAGGGGATCCCCAGAGCCATGCAGATCATGAGGTAGTTCCTTCTGAGATCACAAGCAATGAGACTGTAATGCATGTGAATGCTGTTTTGCTGTGGAATTTGCTATCGCTGAGTTTCGAGGTGTCGAGGAGTGTCTTCATTTGTCTTTTTGGTTGCGTGTCTTGGTATGGAGTAGTAAACAGTTTAGTTCTTCAGTTGCTTTTGTGCGCAAGAATGCATACATGAACTGTGTACAAGAGGAGTAAGTTGTAAAAATGCCTTACAGTCCCTCAGCAGGTATTGCAGCTTTTCTTTTAAAGGTAAAGGAAAACTAAGATATTTTGAAACAAATAGGACTATAAATGACAACAGAATAAGACGGTGATCGTAACTTCTCTGACATGGAGTGCATTCTGTTTCCCAGTGTATTTGGCTTATTTTTTGGGGGAGAAAAGGGGGAAAGGAGGAGCAGTGTTACAGTGCTTCCAGAAGCAGGATTTATGGGGATATGTTGAAAAAGGCAAGGGGAATTATGTATTTTTATCAATATCAGTTAAATACACAGTAAAACAAAGGCAGGGGATATACAGGTGTTTGCTGCTGCTTGGTTAATGCTGTGGCAGTAAATTTGTATATGAGATGTTTTACTTATAGACGAAAATATTTTTGTAGAGAGGAATTAAGATGGGTTTAGAGATCAAGATGGATGTAGAGAACTCGTTCTGGAGTCAAAACCAGACTTAAGGGAGTTCTGCTTTCCACCCACATTAAAAATACTGACATAATTGAAGCTTCTATCAAATATTTATATATTGATTTTTGTTTTCATAGTTAGATTTATACATACTATTACTAATTCTATATATTCTATGACGCTTTAAAAATGTTCATTTTTTTAAAAAGGGGCATATGTGACTGTTCAAACTCTAACTTTATTCATGAATTCTTAGAGAGGTGGAATAATTATACTTAATATAAAAAGCAAGTTTAGCTGGATAATTTGTTGCAGCATTTTGTTTAACCTTTTGCTTAGGAGATTTGAATTTACACACTTGTCAGTGATTTCTGCCTTGGCAAACTAGGAGAAAGGGCAATTAAAGGAGCAATGTTTTTGTTACCAAATTGTGTTAACTTTGAGAAAATCCTTTTCTTCATTCTGTGAGTGATACCTTAAAGAACAGAAGATGAGAACATTGGAAATTACCCTGCTAGAAGTTCTGCGTAGCCAAGTGTCTACGTCCAAGGGTGGCAAATGCTGATGGGGGAGGAAATCCACCCCAGCTTTTGGCAACTAGCCGTAAGAGCTTTAGACTAGATTACATTCAGGCCATAAGCATATTCTTTAGATGTATCACTGGATTTTTTTCATTATGCAAACCTTTTGGTTTTGCAAAACCTTTTGGCAAAGCCTTGCTCCAGACCATGCTTAAGGGAGTTGAAGCTTACCATGAAGTTATTTATGTTAAAAGATGATTTGGGCTAATATTTGAGGTGCAGATACATTCTGTGCAGCCAGTCACTAGGGAGAGCCAGACCGTGGTGTGTGTTTGGACGGCAGTGGTTCAGATAGAGCAAAGGAATAGCTGGGAGATGGATGTTACTATTTAAACATGCTTAAAATAGTGCTCTTGTATTCAAATAGTACTTAGGTTAATTGGTTTCCTGACTGAAAGAAAAAGCAAGCATCAAGAAATGTTCTATATATTTCACTTTTATATACCCTTTTCAAATACATATAGTTTAGGTGGATTTGCTCCTGAGCCTATTACAATGTTTAGTTTTAAAATTTAATTGTGGACTCCTCAAAAATTTTAGGTTGCTGGAAGCCCTGTCGTAGAAGTCTGCCTCTGGAATGGTAGTGCTAGAAACAGGAGAGAAAGGAAAAAGGGACCCTTTCATTGCCTTTGGCAATGTCCTTTATAGCAGCCATGACATCCGCAAGCATTTAAACAGCCAAATTTTCTTGTTGTAGGCTAGTGGCAGCAACAGGTAAACTGGTGAAATGTTTGTGGCTGTCACTTTGGTATCTGTGACGATGGTATGTTAACTTCTCACTGGCTGTCCTTTTGCTGGATAAGACTCTGGTTTTAGTCTGGAAAGGATGATTGCTTTTTTGAGTAGTTACTCTCCTTGTAGTAAGTGTAGCTGGTTTTCTGTTATCATCATTCTTCCTTCTTTTCATGGAAGGACTTCCAATAATTCTTTCTCCCTCCTCACCTGCAAATGATCCCTCTGACTCTTACTCAGGCCTCTGTACCCACGACTTCACCACATGGTTGCATGTTCAGAAAGCTTGATTTTAAAAAGATCTTTTTTTTATTGCCCATAACCTATTTCAGCTCAGTTCTTCTGTTTATTTGTGACGCTTGTGGTATCACAGATTGGCCTTCAGACAGTTATACCTATCAAGTTTTCAGTCTTTGTAAGACCAATGGATGATGCATGTTTTGATTAATTTTTAACTAGACACAAGTTCATATTTCCAGTAGCACAAGTTCCTTAAGTGATTTGTGTCCTCTCTGACTGTGTTATCGAAGTTTGAGCCTAGGGACATATATGTTGCAAGGTCATGTCAATCTACTTTCCAGCAGTCATGTTGATTTTGAAGTTGCCTTTTTTTTTTTTTCCTTCCTTTCTTTTCTGTTCCGCATTTGGGAGCGTACTTTACACTCCACTGCTTGTGTTCACCTTTTCGTTTATGGCCTCTGAGTACTTAAACTGAAATACTTAGAGTAAAGGTTGAGATCTGAGCCTAAGCTACAGTAAAATATAGGACATCCCCGATTTTGTCTAATTATGAAGACTTAGAGCAAATATGTCTTAATGATTAGTAAAAACAGATTTAATTTATTATAATGAAGTTAAGTTGGCTTTTATACACTAGTCTGAGTTATGCACATTCCCTTCAGATTTAGTAATAAAAGAGCATATGCAGGAAGATTAAATGCTACTTGTATCTCTACTGATTTGTCCTCAGAGGCGCTTGGTATCATATTAGGTAGCAAAATGGCAAGATGATGTGAAAATGAGACTGTGAATGATCATATATACTAATATATGTGTAATATATTAGAACATGAAATAGCTTATAGTTGGTCTTAGGACTTTGCGATTACGAAATTGAATTTGTTTGGATACGTAAAAAGGGGCAAAAGTTTAACAGATACGGCAGTTTTTTGGATGGGGCAGGGGGAAGCAGTGCAGTCCTGTCGACAGGGCCTCTAGGAAAGTGTATAAGATTTTGGAATTGCAGATAAAATTTATCAGAGGTAGCGACTTGTTAATGTATTTGAGGAAGGAGTGTTTAACAGTAAATGGGAGAAATTTGTCGGATAGTGAAGTGATTTAATTAAGGTGGACTGTAAAAGGAATGAGATGTCGTCATATCAGAGAAAGGAGAACATCTAATACCTAGCTAGGAGACAATGTGAAGTAGAGAGCAACAAATTAACCGGCAAGCTGTAGGAAAGCAATAGGATTTCATTTAAATTTAAAACTACATTTAAAACATGTGGCCAATATGCAATTTTGTTCCCTGTTTTTTGTTTCAAAATAAACAAAGGGTAATAGAGGAATGCTAGCTTCTTTAATTAGTCAGTGTTCTTTCTTACGATTTTGATTTTTAGAAGTAGTAGTAACTTTCAAAACTAGACTGGTTAAGTGATAGAAGAGAGACCGTAACTGTTCCTATTTTTTTTATTAAATGCAGGGTGATGAACTAGTCTCTGCCCTCAGGACTTTTCCATATAAATGGAAAAAAGCCAAGAAAGACAGTAGAAGCAATGATGTGGGGGATCTTTTCTGTAATTCCCTTTAGTGTTACAGCAAAGATCTTACAAGGTGTAAGGTTGGGCAGCTGTCTGCTTAAGATGGCTTTATTTAAATGTGGTATAGTATAATTGGGGATGGGACTGAGAAAAAGCATGGACAATACCTAAAAAGCATATAGGCAGTTAATACTGAAAAATGTGTTGAAAGTGAAATTGAAAGTTGCTGAGCATGGTTTGGCCAGTGGTCTCTAACCCCTCTTGATGCAGCTTCAGCAGTTGTTGGTACTAGCTGAGGGACAAGGAGTGCCTTGGCTTGTTAAACTTTGGAACTCAAGAATTTTGTTTTAAGTTTAGGTCTGCAAAGGCTAAATTCGTATGTTGTGTTGTATATGAGATTAGTTAAGCCTTGAAACGTCGAGGCTATTATTATATGGGTGTCTTACAGATATAGTATCAGGAGTTGCTTGGAAAGAGGCAAGTACAAATGCATTATGTTATTCAGTCATAATTCCTGTTAATAGCAATAATAAAAATGTCCAAAGTCTACTACTTTGAAGAAATGTCAATGCACTTAGTATTTAACTATTAAAGCATAATGTAAACTTAAATATGTGTATAAATATAGCTATCTTATAAAGTAGGAGTTCAAATGGGGCCAATAGCACTTTTATTAACTCATCAGTCTTAATTCTTCAAGTGTTAAAATAGGACTGAAGACTTTTTTGCGCAAGTGGTTAGAAATTGGCACTTCAGAATTTCATGTTACTCCACGTGCAAGAGAGGCAGCATTGTTTAATCCATGGTTTAGATGCTCGCATTCTGTAGCCTGTAGAGGGCACTTATATTTTTCATGTTACCTTATTGAAAATTGACCTGAGCATCTCCCATGGGTTTTGCTGTGCTTGGTAAGCTGGCTTGTGTCCATATATGGGGTTTGTGTCACACAAGTGGCAAGGTACTGAGAAAGGTAACACCAAAAACCTATGTCATGATCATTTGGAAATGTCACTGAACACGTAGACTCTAAAAACACTGACTTTTAAAAACTGGTGACTTTCTGATACCTGAGTATTTTTTGGTAAGATTTAAGCTTTTCAGGAGAGGTTTTTTTTTCCTAGCTTAAAATCAAAATTCTGTCTTTCTCCTGCTTTATAGTTTTCCTCAAAACCCTTTGTCATGGTTTAACCCCAGCTGGCAACTAAGCCCCACAGCAGCCACTTGCTCACTCCCCCTCCAGTGGGAGGGGGGAGAGAATCGGAAGGGTAAAAGTGAGAAAACTCGTGGGTTGAGATAAGAACAGCTTAATAATTGAAATAATAATAACAACAACAATAATAAATTGTAATGAAAAGGAAAACAACAAAAGAGAGAGAGGAACAAAACTTAGGAAAAACAAGTGATGCAACTGCTCACCACCCGCTGACCGATGCCCAGCCAGTCCCCGAGCAGCGGTCACTGCCCCCCGGCCAACTCCCCCCAGCTTATATGCTGAGCCTGATGTCGTATGGTATGGAATAGCCCTTTGGCCACTCTGGGTCAGCTGTCCTGGCTGTGCCCCCTCCCAGCTTCTTGTGCACCTCCTCGCTGGCAGAGCATGGGAAGCTGAAAAGTCCTTGACTTAGTATAGACACTGCTTAGCAACAACTGAAACATCAGTGTGTTATCAACATTATCCTCATGCTAAATCCAAAACACAGCACTATACCAGCTACTAGGAAGAAAATTAACTCTCTCCCAGCTGAAACCAGGACACCCTTATACTTGTGTTATTGAACCTTAGTCAGTATTTAACTATAATCATTTCTGAAGAGCAGGATGTGTTCCCTTTTAAGTGTTAGGCCTCCTACTAGCCGAGGATCCAAGATAGTGTGAAAGGAAATCTGCACTGAATTCCTCAGGAGACTGTGGCATAGAGATATTGTTGTGGGAGATGAATGCAGGGAGGTTTTTTTTTTATGCATGGAATGGATGCTTTGAATAATAACTACAATATGTTAGCAAGGAGATGAACAAAGTGTATGAAGGAACAGAAACTGCTTGACGTGTGTGCAAAGTCTTTTTTTCTGCTTTACACCTCAGACTTGTTCCTTACATTATAATTCACTTCTGCCTTCAGAAAAGAATCTTATACCTCAGCTAGCTGTGCCTGATAGAAAGCCTTGCATTTGCATTGCTCATTGTCACACGCATCAGAGCTGGAAGGAGGGTGGAAATTCCTAATATTTTAGGATGCATTGCACAAGTACTGTAAAGTGCTGGGACCTGCCAAGGTGCAACTGGAGATTCAAGTTGTCCTTAACAATTATTGACTTTCCAGATACTATTTGGAAGGGGAAGAAAAGGATTTAGTTATGAAAGCTGGGATACTGCCAGAAAACCAAGGTAGCAGGTCTCCCAAGTTTTTTGGGGCGATGCAGATTACTAAAGCTAACTCTCTTCATTATTCAGTAATGTAAATCTGTGGGAATAAAACTTAGATCGGCAAAAAAATCAGAGATTAAATTTAAGTAGCTGAAATCTGGTATAGTAGAATTAAAAAAATTGTATCAATACAAACCAGTTGTTCTGAAAATATTTTAAATTGCCTAGCATTTATCAAATATTTCTGTACTGTAAAAATGCATCTCTTATTCTCTGATGTAAGATAAAAATGTGAACTCCCTGCAATTTATTACTGTTCTCTTTCTAGTCAAATAATCTTTGATCTTTCAGATTTTAAAGCGCTTTCATTCTCAAAACTGCCTTGTATGTTTCTGACTACTTGTAGCATCTTTCATCAGAAGAAAACGACCACAGTTCTTGTTACAGCCAGTCAGATAGTCAGTATGGTTCTCCTCCAAAGGGTTGGTCAGAAGAGTTGGATGAACATGGTCAAACCTTATATACCAATGACTATACTAATGAAAAGGTACTTTTTCCTTCTTCTCATCACGTGTTCTAAGTCTTTTCCACTAATTCACTGTTAGAAATGCAGATTTCATTTCTAGAAGTGAAAAGCATACCTCAGCAGTATCTCCTTTTATTTTTTAAATATGCACAAAACTTTAGCAACTGAACTGACTTTTTTTTTTCTTATGTATGTTCTTTACTATTCAGAAGAAGTTTTCTTATTTCCAGTTGGGTGTCAGATTATATTAAATGAACATATCATGTACAATTTTTTTAATTCCCACCCTCCCTGATCCTCTTGGTTACACTTCAGGAATGAACTTCATGCCAATTACTGTCTTTTAGGAGTTGTTCTTGTCTCATATGCCTTCCAGTTAGGATGGTTTCGAACTGAAAATAATGCTGCTTTATCAGTTTCATCCTTTCCTTTACTGGAGATTTTCAGTACTGCTTTCAGATGTAGACAAACTTCCTAATTAAATTATAGCCATATCAGTAGATTTAGGTTCAATTCTAATTATCTAATTGCTACTGACAGTTTCTGTGATTCTGGGCACATCATAAAAATTTCTCCCATGTAGGATAAATAACAGTATTTGTTTATATTTGTAAAGCAGTCCATTTTTCTAATTGTTTACTAAAGTTGCATTTTGGTTGTTTGTTTTTTTTTTAACTTCAAAAAGTGTTCATTGAAACAGTAGTTTGTTTATTGCATTATAGCACCGCCTCTTCTCCCGTTGATGTATGCAAGGTTTTTTTGAAAGAAGTTTTTAAATAATTGAGTTTTATGTCGGTTTTGGAATTTTATACCGCTTAATCTATTTCTGCTTAAACATCTGTAGAGCACTTACCAATGTTTTGGCAAATATGTGAACTTTTTTTTTTTAAACTGCACTGGGATTGATAGAAAACAGTGTTTCCTATCACAATCAGTTTATTGGAAGGTAGTCTTGTGAAACCTGCTTGACTCAAGAGTCTTGCTGTGAGTGTTTCTGTGCATATTTTTGTGCGATCTTCTTGTAGACTTTTGCTCATTACAAGTCTTTCCTTTCTGCATAACTAGTCACAGTTGTTATAGTTTTGCCCCTTTGATTGTGGGAGTTGCTTACAGAGGTTACAGAAATTATATGGTCTTCTTCATGGTTTATTTAGGAACTCCATCTTACGTTCCTGTTCATGTTTTAAAAATGGAGTTGTTCAACAAGTGCAGTTATGTCTTAAATTATCAGCAGTTGCTGGTTGAGCTTCTTGTAATTCTGTAATTTTATGTATAAAATCCTTACACAGATCTGATGCAAAGATTGTGCTTCCTTAAACTGACACTGTAATGTTGATAGGAGTAAGATATGCCATCTTCAAAAATATCTGTTTGTCACAATCTCTTGTGTGTTATTGCAGGACTATTTTCTGAGGAGTTAAAGAAGGAAAAAATATTAGTGAACCCAGTTCAGGAAGCTGAAGACTGTGTTGCTCTCATTGCTAACCTAGGTTACTTAATGGAGGTTGTGCACTAGACACTGCTGAAGTGGATGGCACTTTATTAATAATTAACTTTAAATCCCAAGTATAAGATATTTGCTGTGTTACGACTGTCACTCTGATTACATTTCTTATCATCACGTTTCTTTCTACAGTGGATAAAACACGCAGATGAACAAGGTAGACCATACTACTACAGCGCTGATGGTTCCCGATCAGAATGGGAGTTACCTAAGGTGAGTGACCTAAAAAGGAAACTTTGAGAACTTGAGGCTTTCCCCTCCTCCTCAATAAATGTTCTATGGGGCCTTTAATGGGAGTTATTCACAGCAAGAGGACTTGTATATTGCACTTGGTTATTTCTTGCATTTTTGTGCAATTTCTGATTGTGAAGAGAAAAAAATACACTCAAGGACATGAAAAGTGGATGTATGTAACTATTCAAATGTCAGAGAAGATCTTGTATCCTTGCTGAACTGAGCTTTTCATGCAAGGCTGCGGAATAAGATCTGTGATTTTGCTGTGATGAAGAAAACTTCTATAGGAAAAAAGAAAATAATTTTATTTTACTACAAAATGTTCCTGAGAAACTGTAGTCTATTTTTAGTACCCTCCAAAATGCATTATTTTTCTTCCATGAACTTCTAAATTTGGTGATTTAGGTGTTTTTCAACACCTGTCTCCATAAGACAGGTGTTGAAAAACAAAAGTTGCAGTAGTGTTTTGTCATATCTTTGAGGATGACACAGTTTCACTAGAAGTGTGTTCTGGTATTTATTAATTTTGTAATGAAAACAGGAATTCATAGGAAAGTGACAGAGCTAGGGACACTTCGTAGTCTGAGGATGTACCTAATACTATTTAATTCTCATTTTCATTTTAAAAGACTGTAGGACATTTGTCATAATGATGTAATTGTATATGTCTTGCCTGCTATTAGGATGTTTGTTCAGTCCTACATAGTAAGGGGACCATAAAAAAAGTTTCACACAGAATTGTGTGCATAAGTATATGAAGGAGCATGTTTCTCAATTATTATTTCGTAAGTCCAAAAATCAGTGTCCTAAGTCACTTCCACTTTGAAAGGAGCAACCTTAATAGATAGTGCTTTCATAATATTTGTGAGAAAATATTTACATTGAAATTTATGGGTGAAGCTATATACTAGACTGTTTTGTTACATCAGGAAAAGAATTTGTATTTGAGTCACTGAAGAGTTGAGTTAGCTTTGTGAGTTCTCCGATGTTGGTCTGTTAGATAAATTTTGTAACATACATAAACCCAAAAATATAATCTGTAGCTATTGGTTTTAAAAGCTATTTATCTATTGATCAGCTATTAGAAAAATTAGAAGTCTGAAAATCTGCTAGACCAGGTTTTACCAGAAGCAATTGTTAGTTCAGTATGTATAATTGAAGTTAATTTTGGGGAATAATGCCTTGGGTACTTCATTCTATGACTTCTGCAATGCAGAAAGTTTTGACTGTGAAGAAGTTGTTTTCCACTAAAATAGGTTGAGTTTGGATTTGAACTAAAGAGCAAATTATGTTGGCTTTAATCCAACTACAATAAGTCACAAAGATAATCCAGAACCGTTGCCTGAGGCATATTAGCATAATGGGATGGGGTCTAGTGTTTGTGTGTTAGTACATGATATTCTAGTGGTTATAAACAAACACCTGAGCTCCATTGTATCAATAGCCACCTACAGAATGAAATGTAGCCTCTGTTCCGGCATTTGTGATCTGATATGCTTTAGTTCTTGTTTATATGAAAATCATCACATATTGCTGTTACAAATTTTCTTTGAAAATTACTTCTCATGAGCCATTTGGGCAGAATGTACTCTTTAATTCCTTCTTGAAACTAGTAAATCTTGGGTGGCCACAAATATAAGGTTAACAGAAGTAAATTGAGCAATTGACTCTTGGATTCATCGTCCAAGAGCCTCTGTATTTCCAGAAATCCTTAGCTTTTAACTTTAAATGCTGTGTAATGGATTAAATATTTCAGCAAAAGGTTTAGCTAGTTTATTTAACTACAGATCTGAAGAACATATAGCAGAGACGTTAGACTTTTGAGTAATTGAAGCATAATTGAAGATTATTAGTATCTCAAAAATCTTACTGAAGCCGGTTCCAAAAGTGTTTAGGAACAAGTGAATTGGGAAAACAACATAGGCCGCAGAACTGCTTGGAAGAAAAATCATCTATATTGAAAACTCTCATGAGTGGTGAGAGAAAACTGTAGAAAGACTTCAGCATTGTAACTCTTGCTTAAATGAAAATTAAGTTACTAGGAAAAAAACCCTACTCTTGGTCAGTTTTTTCCCAGTGTATTTAGTTCAAATATTGCCTTCCAAAATTTTGTTGTGAAATAAAGCGATGGAATAGCATGGTTGTGTAATGCTGTTAAACCAGAAAAAAAGAAGAGAATCCTTTTGTTAGATGGTTCTTGATAATCTGAACTTCATTAGAACTCAAAATCATTCAGAGGTTTCTGGAAATAGCACATTAGCTGAGCTAATACAATAATATTAAAAGTCTTCACTGTTACAGCATTAACTGTAAATGTGAACATGCTTGGGAATAACACTTCCAGTATTCTTGTATGTGCGTTTAAAACTGTGACAGTGTATGTTGGGGGGGGTGCGGCAGGTGCAAAACAAATTACTTCAGACAGTCTCATAAAAAGCCCTCTGGTCATGTATATTTAAATAACATCTAGGAATAGCTGAATGCCTCTGGCTAAAAGTGATGTCTCGGATGGAGTAGCTTTGACAACTGCTGAAAAGTCTATTAAGACTCATGATGAGTGTGACCCAGCTTTTTGCAGTGGAATAGAGGAACATACGGAATTATTTTTTAAAATGGATAATAATCTTCAACTATAACTTGTACTACATCTTGCAAAAGACTTTGCGTTTTGTCCTGTGCATTCTGCTGCATTCAGTTGTTGTTTTTTGCCGATTACAAAAAAAAAAGTAAACCAGCAAATAAAAGTTCTTTTCTGCATAGTTCACTAGATAAAATATATTTATTTCCTATGTAGTGAATGAGTAATATCTAAATCATGTTGAGAAAGGCTACAAATCTACTCTAGAAACCTAGTGGTTTTCTAATATAAGTTTTATAATTAAGCAAATGAGAAATCTGTATTAAGGGGGGAAAAAAGTTCAATTGATCTCAGGAATGAGAACTCTCTAACTTCTAAAGTTTAAAAAAGGTAATCTATCAAAATGACAGAAGGGCGAAGAAAACTATGTGATAAATATTAAATAAGTAGCTCAAAGGGGAGGAAGAGAGGTAAACCTAATAAAAATTAGAGATACCAATTAATGGTATCTCAAATTTTCAAAATGTGTTCCTAGGCTGATATCTGGCGTAACAGCACGAGGGTTGGCCGTCCTCTGACCGAGCTCTCTCATCCAAGAGTAGACTTAGAAAGAAAATGCTTATACTATAAGCGTCTGGAGTAAACTCATAGTTTTGCGGTATCAGTCTGTAAACATGAACACCAATTACACTTTCTCTTCTCAGAAGATCCTGCAGCATTAGGTCCCCTCACTGTATCCAGAGAGGAGTCGCTAGGTAGAGGAGCTTCATTTTTGGCTGTAGTATGAGACCAGCAGTCTGTCAATGCGCTCTGTGCACTGTCAGCAGTGAGTTGGAGCTCAGGGGCCTCAATTCTGATACTCAGGTGAATGATTTTCCTGCGGGAGACCTGAATGCTGTCAAACAGTGTGCTATATCAAAAATTATAATAAAACATGATGCCGATAATATCAGGAAGATATCATGCAGTCAAATGGTGAAAGAAAATAAAGTTGAGAAAGTGTAAATAGGGCCTGGTTGTCTTACGGTCACTGTCTGCTGGTTTTGTTTTGAGCAGTGCTGTTTGATTTGAGGTAACACATCATGTGTGTTGGCACTCATATCTACTGTAAGTCAATGCACTAAACAGTATCATTAGCAATGGTGAATAATCTTCACATTCTTGTCATAGAATTTGGAATTGCTCGGGGGAAGTTGAGACAGTCTCAGCTGATGTGAGGATCTAGAGGATTTTTAAGGACAAAAGTGCAGGTGGTATGACAAACCTGAGATACATCTGAGAAGGTAGTCAGTTTTTTTCCTTTCTCTTTAATGTGTATATTTGTGTCCCAGAGGCCTGGCCTGGTCTTCCTCATTTGTCCTGGTGTTTGGTGGTTCCCACCCTCCTCCCAAATAAGAAGGGGGGGCAAAAGTGCCCCAGCTTTTGCTTGGGTGAGCAGCAGGGCCTGTGGCAATCAGGGCTGACTTGGAGCTCTTCTTCAAAGATCAGCAGTCTTAGTGATCCTGAGGGTCAGAAGGTGAAGCAGTGGGCGTCCGGGGCAGCAGAGTGAATGAAGTGGGTTATACCGAGGTGTCTTTCAGTCACTTCCACATTCGAGATCCAGCTGCTTGTCCCAGTGGTCTCCTCGCTCTCCATAGGTTCTGTTCCTTCAGATGCCTCCAACTGCTGCCACCCAGGTGTCCTACGGCAGAGAATGAGGAGTCGTCTTTCTCAAAAGAAAGAAAGGGAGGTGTTAGGGATGAAATCCTTAAAGACAAAAATTCTTCCTTAATTTATGTAGGTTAAGAAGAGTGCGGCATTGATTTAGTTGATCACAAAAGCAAAACCTGTAACAAGTGTTAAGTCAATCACAGCACCAAAAAGTGTATTCAAAGCTAATGGCAGCAGTAGCACTGGAGAGTGGTTTTGTTCTGAGGCAACACTTGTTTGGTTTTGTTTTTTTTGTTTGTTGGGGTTTTTTGGGGTTTTTTGTGTGTGTTTTTTTTTTTTTTTTTTTAAATCTTCGATTTCAGACAGTCTATTGGAACAACTGCAAATAATCTGAGTATATAAAGGTATTAGGAGTTCAGAATATTTTTAAGGTGTGGTTTTTTGGGGTTTTTTTTTTTTTTTTTTTTTTTTTTTTTTTTAAATCTTCGATTTCAGACAGTCTATTGGAACAACTGCAAATAATCTGAGTATATAAAGGTATTAGGAGTTCAGAATATTTTTAAGTGCTGTTTTAATATCTGACTGCAAGAAGGTAGAGTAAAATGCTTAACTTCTGGTCTTTACCAAGTTTCACTCTTTTCTCCCTTAACTCACCCAGTTCCTTTCATCTGGCTGAGGATGTTGTTCATGCAAACGAAGAATCATCTTTTTTTCTGTTTCTTAAAGCTGACAGATCTGTGTCATCCCTGTAAGAATGGGGACAACTGCTACAAATAACTCAGAGGTGTTATATTTATTTCAGTTGCAATTAGGCTAGGACAGAGCCTTGAGCCATGACATATATCAGGTTAAAATTAAATATAAATCACTTGGCCAGTTGAGAGGGTTAGAAATTTTTATACCAAGGCAAACGAGGCTTTTAAGTAGCTGGTGAAGCCATTGAGCGAATTCAGCAATGAAAATAACCCCGTGTGACTTAAATTTACACTAGTGGTGTCCTTACCCTACACCAAGAGCTGTTACAACAAGAAGCCTGTGTTACTTGGTGCATGCAGTCAGAGGATGAATAACTTGCTCGTGTCCTCCCTTCCCAATAGGAGATGCTCCTAATGAAATGGGGAGCAAACTGAGGTGATGTGCCGGAGGGTTTAATGTAATGGGACAAGTTTGAGTTTGTGGAGGATTTTCAAGGAGCAGTAGTGTGCACATTTGGAGTTCTGTGCTACCTTATCAAAAGCTTTAGAATTAAGAATTGCATCTCCTTTGGGTGCAATGTTAAGGCACGTGGTGTCGCAGAGATCGTCCCACCAGGCAATGTGTAGTCTGGAATGGGTGGGTTTTACTGGACTGTATGGTTCTTGCCTGATCTCTGTCTTCAAGATTACACCAAGGTTTAGGCATAAAAAGCTTGCTTAGTTATGTAAAAATATGATTTTGCGTGAGGGAAGGAGAGCCCAACCTAGTTGCTTATCGTTGCTGATAAACAATGGGAAATATCATTGCAAATACCTGTAGGAGAGACAACAGCTCTGCAGGTAGGATTCCTTCAGAGTGTCAGCAAGTTAATCTGACCTGAAACTGTTCTGCAAGGCTTTTTGAACTAGGAGGACTCAGGGGGGAGAGGTGGTGCTGCTGGAGCAGACCGAAGAGTAGCAGGGGTGCAGGCATCTGACCTGGTCGCTGAAAGCTCTGGCTACTTCTCGCTAGCCGGTGGCCTCTGCATTATCAGCTGGATAATGCAGAGTCTGAAACAGTATCTGGGTCTCACTGTGATTCATTTCGGGCATCACAGATCAATCCATTCATTTTAAAAGTAGAAGGTTGTCTTGAGCCCAGAAATATGCAAGCTTTCTCTTTTTTCCCTGGAGTAGTGTGTTCTACTATTTGTAATGAATAAAACGAACATCTCACCAACCCCATAAATGCTTGAGCGAAAAATGTTTACTTGACACCTCTGTTGTGAGAAAAAGGGGCAAAAATGTCAAATGTTCTCTTTAAAGACTTGTTAGTTTACTAACACTGCTTGTATCACCAATGCAAATTATTTAAGCTGCTAAGATACATGGCTCGGAGTTCTGAGTTGTTAGCAGTGCTGTGCTAATGAGCTCCACATACTGTTGCTTTGCTTTCTCGTTAAATATTTTGTAAAACTAGAATTTCATAGTACTTTACAGGTCCTTTCTCCTTCAAGATGGGATTGTCTGTTAGCAAAGTTGACTCCTTGTGCCTGTATCCCGACTCTTTAATATAGGTTTAAATTCAAGGAAAATTACTTTAAAATTAGTCTTTGACTGTTTAAACTTAAATTCTTAAAGTTACTCAAATGGGAAGTGCGTGGAGGATTTCCGTAAATAATATTCACCAGTGTCACTGAAGTGTGTGTATATATTTCTGAAATAAGTGGTTCTGTTTCATAGCAAGAAATGTATTTGAATTGCTCACTTAAATGCTTTAGAACTGCTGCAAGGAACACGGTTTGTGGCAACCTTCTGTGATTTAGACGTAGTTTCATTTAAAATTGTTTAGATTTTAGTTGTAATACAGGCAATTTTGTTGCATATTGCTTGGCTTGCTGACACAGGTTGAGTTGTAGGAGCATCTGCTGAGTGGATACTTCCAAAACAAGTAAGCTGGTATTAGATGCCTTGCAGCATGAATGATGATTCAGCTTTGATTTAACAAGGGAACAAACTGAGGGTTGTTTAAATCTCACCATTGTAAGGAAGTGGTTGTCATGTGAGTGTAAATGTGCCAAACCCAATACAAAGTCAGTGCAATCTCAGAAGTTAATCTCTACAGTGACAACCAATTCATTTCTGTCTGTGCATGAACTACCAAATTTTATTCTCAATACTGCAAGATCCATTTACTTGGGAGTATTTTACTACTGTTGTGCATACTCAAATAATTTAATGAAACACTGAAGCTATCATTTACCTTTTAAGCATCTATTGACTTATTGGAGCATGAACTCTATTCATAGTAAAATACAAAGCTAACACAAGCATAGTGTCTGCCATGGCAGTAATAATGCTGATTCTTTATTTGAGCAATAAATGTAACTGTGTTATGCAATTTAGCTTAAATTTAGCATTTACGTTATTTAGGGTGAACCTTGCCGTGCTTTGTTGGTATGTGTAGGTATAGGTTATTCTGTCTTTGAAGACCTGCGGCTTTGAGCTTCTAGTAGGAATCAGTAGCAAATCTGTACAATTCAGTGGGCTTGCAAAGATTATTGCTTTAGCCTTGTTAAATAAAGAGTGCACTTTCCTCTGTTACTTCTTACCTAGTGGATTCTAGTCCTTTATGTGACTCTGCAAATGCTGCCTTACGTTTCTTACTATGTGCAGATTTTACTCTTCTGATGCTGAATAGAAAGAATGAGATTTTTAATGACTTAACCCAAACAAACAAAAAAACCCATGCATTGATGTTGTCTTCTCTTGTTTGTCTTTTCAGTATTAAACTTTGTTTGAAATATTTTTATAATTCTTTATAATGCTACCTCAGTGTTGGTGGTAATGATTTACAATGGCAATGCCACTAATAAGTATGCTGCAATGCTGAGATCTAATTAAATGCTGGGTCCTTCTCATGGCCTTCACGTTTTCTCAGCCTGCGCATCTTTGGATGCTCTTGAGTTATTAGAAAACCTGTGTTATGAGAAATCCATTCTCTCCTTGGCTATTACAGCTCTGCTGAGTCTTAAAATTATTTCCTGCTAAATATTTATTTTCTGTGCTTATGTACATTCCACACCAGCAAATCCTTTTATAAGTAATTTGATGTGATTATTCTGAAAAAGCAAGTCCTTATCCCCATGTCTCGTCTGCTAGGCATCCCAAACCTTTGGGTCAAAGAGAATTGTATCCAAGCAATCATAACTTGCAATCTGAATGCCTTACTGCAGGATAACAGGGTTTTCCTTTCTTACACAAGAGCTGGACAGGTGGTATAGTACTGTCAGGACAATATGAAGAGTGAATGTTTAAATCTTGTATATATTATAACTCCTTGGTGGTTCTCAATATGCTGGTTGGTTGCAAAACCAGCAGTAATCTGTCGCACAGGAAATCAAGCATCGATTTGCCAAGGGAAAGCGTTGTCCTGACAGGCCAGTCTTAGTTACTGCCTCAGAGAGGACTGCGGCAAGAAGGGCAGTCCTGAAGACTAAATGCAAAACAGAAGCAGGGCTATTTTCACGCCCTTGGGTGACATCAGGAATCTGAAAGTTTGCACTGTTAAGGTGTATGAATGGTATGTCCAGGTCTTCTTTGCATGAATTATATTCTACTTATAGTTTGATTTTTCTCTTCTTTAGTATAATGCTTCACCACAGCAGCAGAGAGATATAATAAAGAGTAGGAGTCTGGACAGGAGGCTACAAGAACCAATAGTTTTAACAAAATGGAGGCACAGCACAATTGTGTTGGACACCAACGATAAGGTAGGAGCAAGTTAAACAGCATGCTGGAATACCATTTCTGATATGTGAAATATTTAATCTAACAGAAATGAGTATGCATGAAGTTCTGAAATCTCATTTTTCTTCTGTTCTGTTGTATCATTGTGTATAACATTCAGCGAAACCAAGGGCTGTTTCATAACTTTACTACTGTTACTTTGTGAGTAGTGGCTCTTTTCTTGTTATCTTTCAAGTATTTTAATAGTATTAGTTCAGGGTTTGGCCTGTACAGCCTTTTTACTTATAATTGGGAATTTCCCAATTCTGTTTAGGCTATGGAGTATAATTAGGGTTTGAACTCAAGAATTATGGATGTGGGTGAGGTTCTCCTGTAATGTATAGTGATATTTCAAACCTGAATGTTTTAATTGTAGGAGACACCCAGTAAGAATACACTTGAAAGATTGCAGATGAATAATTGAAATATTTGTAGAATTGAAATAAAAGTTGCACTTGCTAAAGTAAAAATTATGCTTTAAGGACAGAAGTAATGCTTTAAAGATAGAAGTAGTAGTATTATGTAGTGGATTTATCCCTTTAATGACTGTTCCGTTGATCTCTACTGTAATATCTCGAGTAAAGAGGAAAAGTTTTGTGTGGTTACAGCAGGGTGGTAATGTTGTTATTGGAGGACAGAGGACAGTACTGAAGGTGCTGAAACGTTTGGTGTTGATCCCCTCCAGGGCTGAGTTGGGAGTTTAGTCTGAGAAGAGCTGTGGGTCAGTAACAATGAGCTGTTTTCTGCCCGTTCTTAGGGCATGTTCTTGATAGTCTGCTTTCAGCTGTACAGTAACAGATGCTGTTCAGGCCAAAAAGGAGACAGAGCCTCTTCCTTGCACTCCCTCTGCCTGTCTCTTTCTTTGGTTTGATTTTTGTTCCAGCTGTTTCTGCTTGTGCTGGGACATTCTGCCTGTGGGTGAGGAGAGCTGATGTGAGCTGGGCAGAGAGGAACTGAAATGGCTGTTGTAGGGTGGTGACCAGCTGGTTTCTGTCACTTCGCAGCAGTCCACCCCAAGATTCACAAAAACTGAAAGACTTTGTAATGCTGAAATCTTAGCACAGGCTACTCAGAATGAGATACCAGAAACAGTGTTGTAAGCTCCTTTTTCTGAAGATACAGGGGAAAACGAAATGAATGTAGATTTGGGAGCACAGGGAAAAGCCTATAAGTGGGCCTGGGTAATCGCAGATGTCAAAGACAAACTTCAATGGAGAAAACACAGTAGCTGTGAAAATGGATCTGCTGCCCAGACTGTTACTTGCCTGACCTGTTGTTTCTGGTACGTTTTAATGGCTTTCCTTGTTGAAATGGAGTATAGGAGAGTGGGTCGTCATGAGTTATCTTAGTTCCTCAGAACAGGATTTATTGGATTTGATCTTAAGCTTTTAAGCTGTCAGTTACAATATATCATACCATGGTGCTGAGGAGGCAGTGGACCTTGCTTGGCTGGAGACTTTGCACCCGTACGCATTAGTTTAGCACGAGCGATTCTGAGGTCCCTCTTCTGCTCCTTTCCCCTCCCGACTCCTCCTTACGCATCCTTCGGTACCAAGTGTGTTGTGGCACTGCGCGAGAGGCAGCCTAGACCGAGTACTGATAAATCAAAGCTGAGTGGACACTTCCAGCCACAGGTATGAACAATTCCGTTGGAGATAGCTTTAAGTTTTGACCTCACTTTTAAAAGAAGACTTATTTTTTGGCATAAGATTTACTTCTGTTTTGGAACGAGCTTTATGTAGTACTGCACTGAATGAAGAAGCTCTTGTAAAACATTGAATAAGGGGAGCTGTTTACTTTTCTTCAAGATGCAGTGTTCAGATACCAAGACCTTAAACCTAGTGAAGCAAACATGCAAATGTACATATGTCTAGTGTAATAACAGAAAGAAACTGTATATATGAGCCACATTTGTAAAGTCTAAGTCAGTAGCTTAAAGGTTTAGGTTTTTTTTAACAGCTTCAAAACATGCAGGCAGCATGCATTTGTTGATGTTGAGGAGACTGTATAGTTAATATAAAGCACAATGTTAATGCTTTGAGAGAATTAAAAATGTGTAGTGGAGCAATAAACCAGCGTTTTGTGGAAAGACAAATTTTGTTTAGTGCATTGATGCACCTGTTTTATTACCACTGGCAGAACACTGTTACATATACTGCTTTAAATTAGTATGTGAAAAGGGAATAGTTCATGATCGCAAATACTAGATGTCTTGTTCCAGAGCTGATTAGTGTATGAAAGCTATCTGAAATTCAGAATGAAATAGAAAGAAAAATAACTGATATTTAGCTGGATAGGCACATCAACCCCAAGTTGGCTTTTTAGCTGACTCGTAGGTAAGCTATTTTCTTTTTATTTTCCTTATTTGTTTTTCTTGGAAAAACCAACACAACTCAATTGTATGGAAATAGGCCAGTCAAAAAGTGCTGGAAATGTGTCAGTGGAAGTATGGGTTGCCATGGCTGGTGAGAACTTGATGATACCAAATGTACTTGTTAACTGTTTATTGACCATGGCATGTATCTGTATATAGCCATCAACTAAAACATTTGGTAAGCAGAGGAAAAAATACCTTCCTGGGAGGGACAATGTTGATTTCCTGAATTTAAACATTTTTTTTTTTCCTCCCCCTAGGACATCTGAAAACATGAAACATGTAGGCTGTTCTTAGGAATGCTAATGTTCTCTGTTATTACGCTACTAAAAGAAGTAGCAGACCACTTCTGTAGGTTGATTTACAAGTGGATTTTAAAGCACGAGTGTGCAGAGCGTTATGTAATGCTGGAAAAGCAAATGGAATTTGGGAGAGCTGTCAAGGGAATTAAAAGGGGGGGGGGGGGAAGTGTGTTAACAGTAACAGAGAACAAGTGATGTTTTTCTTCTGTTGGAAATTCTTCACCAGATTTTCAAGCGGTGTATTTGTGCAAAGCAATCATTACTTCAGAGGAAACGTGTGTCCCTTTTTTGTTCCAGATGGGCAATTTTTCTAGTTTTCACAGATTTAGTACTTTCTTCTTCTGATCCATGGTTAACGTCTAGTTTAAAACAAAAAACTGAATCTCTAGAAATTTTCAGTGCTTGATTATAAGGAAATTAATGATCTTGACTCACAAAAATTGATAGAGCTGATATATGCTTTTCTACATGTATAACAGTTTATCGTACTAATCTTACCTTTACTATCGTACTAATCTTATATTTACTAACCACACAGAGACATAATCTGTTCTTTAAAATCTTGTTATTTATTACATGGTGCCCTGTAATAAGTTAGTATTATAAATGTGCTTCATAATTTGACAGCAATGTCATACAAAAAATCTGCCCCTTAAATAAGGATGAAAGTTTTGCTTTAAGCTGATACAGTATGTATTAATATTTTTTTTAAAATGGATATGTCCTAATTAACTGAGTTTGAGTGTTTTCTGTAAATCTTGTAAGAACACTGCTTAGTAAGCAGGTTTATAATATAACTATCTGAGAATATCAGAATGCTTAAAAAAAGTACATTTTTTTTGTAATGAGTGTGTATAAATGGAGAGAAAATGTCTTTAGGGTTAAAAAAATCAAAAGAACTGTAAGAAAGATAATAACTTATGTTGCCTATTTGAATTTTACAGGAATCATCAACTGCTTCTAAGGCCAGTTTTCCTGAAAATGAGTCCTCTCCTTCTTCACCAAAGCATCAAGCCACAGTCAGTATGCAAAGTGTTTAAATAGATAAGTAGATGTTGTAGCAACTGGGCTATTCATGATTAGAGAATTGAGGGTAAGCCTGCTTGTTATTGAGAAAAATAATGGGATAAAACTATTTGAAGGCTTTACATTTTAAAAGGAATACATTGCATCCAACTGTGCTTTCAGAAAAAATATAAATGTCTTTGGTTTAAATACAGCTTGAGGATAGGAGATTAAGTTAAAAATGCACTGTGGAGTAAAGTTATGTCAAATTACATAGCACTCAGTTTACTTCTTCCAACAGTTGTGTCTTCTGCCCTAGCAACTTGGAAGGTAAAAGCAGAAACAAACTCCCCCTCTCCACAGAATCTCTCACTGTCAGTAGTCAGTAATAGTTGGTAGTATTTGATATCTTTATTTTTTTTTATTTTACTTGTGTTTCAGTTTCCTTGAAAACAAGTAGAGGACCTGGCATAAATAAACTATGTCTTTTTGATTTAGTAGAATAACTACTAGGAGGAAAACTTCAGCTTGTTAAACTTGTTATGAACGTTTAACAGATTTTTTTTTTTCTTAATTTTTTATTTTGAATGTCGTCATTGCTTTTTAAACAGTGGGAAATAATTAAAAAAATGACTTTTTTTGGAACTGTACTACAATAGCATTGAAATATGTGCCTTGATCAATTTTAGCAGGACTTCAGTAGGTAGCTCAGGGCATTAAAGGCACAACTTCTCCTGTTTCATTCTTAGTCTGCACGCAGCGGAATAGTTCTCTGGCTTATTCATGCTAATCCATTCTTACAACTCTTCAAACAGTTTTCCACAATAAAATAAACATTGTTCATTAAGCAAGCATAGTTGATAGCCTTACGCACAAGCAATTATTGCTGCGTGCATTCTAATTTCTTTAAATATGGCTCAGACCTTGAATTATTGAAATTGTATTTTGTAGAAGAACTTACTACTGCTTTAGATAATAGAAAAAAATAATCTATTTTCTTTAGCTGTCCCCTGGGATTTAAAAACTGCAAAGAAAGCTGGTGAATGTTTGTGTATTTTGATCCTTAACTTGCTTTCCTCTTCCTTTTCCCCGATGACATTAATTTTCCCATTAGTACCCCCTAGCGTTGCTGCTAAGTAGGGCATTATGATACTTTTTCTGAATAATTCTTTGGAGCATTCCCACCGATTCCACCATGAGTAATTTATTAAAACCATAATTTATTTGAGCAAGTGGGTGTGTGTTGCTCAGTCACTGTGAAAGATGGTGACAGGCGGTTCCACTTACTAAAGCCAAAGGTTTGTTAGAAGGCTGCAATGCACAGGACTGTTAGTGGTGGTCTGCATGGATCTCAAATAGTGATCTAAAGAATGGGCTGATAAGGGTGGGGGGAGGGAAACGACTCCTTTCTTCTACTGAAAATAGCAGGTTTGGAAAAGAACGTATACATCACTGGCTTGGGAAAGCATTCTGGCCCAATAGACATACTAGATGAAGAGCAGCGGTTACCATTGGACTAAAACAACATCTGAATCACCAGCTAAACACTATTCTCGTTGAAAACATGTCTCTCTTGTATTTTATGTCCTGTGCTTGACATATGTAGGCAAAACTTTTAAGGTTCATGAAAAACAGAACTATGTCTTTGGTAAGAGTGTTGTCACAGTATTCCAGCAAAAAATTTATCGTCGATACTGTATTCTGCAGTTATGGTCCACTTAAATTTGAGATTTAGAGGAGAATGCTGGAGAGAATATATCTTCTATTTTCGTTGGATCTAGAACTGAGGGCATTTTTGTTATGATAAAACTAATTTGGATCCTTTCCCTAGTTGATTGTTTCAACTAATAGCTTAGTTCTTAAATTAGGTACTGTTACAAGCTGTTACTGAAAAGGAATTGATAAAAAAAATAATTTAACATTCCTCTAGCACTATTCACTGGTAGGGCAAGGCTGGGGTGACAGGAGAAAATGATAGAATTTGTTACCTCATCTTGAGAATCAAAAATGGTATAAATTGCTGGTTTTCCTTTTTATCCTAGAATATTTTTCATTCCTCTATATTTTATTATTTTTGCACAGAAACTAGAAATATTAATTCCAATACCTGAAACTTGCAAATACCCTTCTTGTTCAACGGTGTTCTTTTTCCACCATTCACTGACTGATCTCCAAATTTGTACAGAGGCTAACAATATAAATGATTTTCATCAGCAAGACATAACTAAGTAGTTTTAAATTCTAATATTTTGCTTGGGGATAGGAAGAAATGGGACATCAAAGAAATGTTTCACTCATCTATTTTTGAAATGAATACGTTGATATTTTTATGCATTTCAACCATGTTTTATTTTAAATATGCAATTATGCATATTTATGCAAAATAACTTGGAAGAATTTTGTCAGAGAACTTAGGCTGTTTGTTTGTCAGCCATCTCCTTTTTAAGTAAAGGACACAAACATGAATGTGCTATTACACAAATCATTATAAATTTACATTTAAAATTTCCACTATGTAGTATCACAAATGATTTAGTTTGGCTTGTCCAAAGAACCTAGGCCTTGAAGGAGGAAAGCTTTTTACCCTCTGAATAGTAATGGGTACTTTACCAGAGGAATTTTGATTTTGCTGATCTCTGCATGTTTAAATATACTTATGACAGTTTCTTGAAGTTAGAACATGAGCAAAGATGGCTCTTTGCCAGAAATTGATTATTTGGGGGATTGAATTCAGTGCCATGATGGCAATAGAAGTAGACTTTTTTTATATTTGTTATGTCTCACTGTATCTTACAGGGTCAAGAGAAGTATGGGTTATTGAATGTGACAAAAATTACAGAAAATGGGAAGAAAGTTCGGTAAGTCTTGGACTTCTACATATGCATAAGGGTTTGTGTGAGGTATCTTTTATATTAGGACAGCATACTGGGTTTTGCAATTTCTTACTTTTCGTCTGGATTTGCCTTAGAGGTTTTCCTGTAGGACACAGCATTTCCTTATCCCAAAGTATGTGTTTCTCCCAGTGAGCTAGAGATAATGGACCTCAGAGAGCCAGAGGCTCGTGTATGCCAGGGCTCCACACAGGGCAGTGATTTCATGAAGGTGTACTGATGAGCGACAGCTTCTTAAAATGGGATTGATTGATTTATTTAAGAGAAAATCTATATAGCTTATAACCTGTCTTGTTCCTTGGATAGAATTGGTGTAAGAGGGGCTTTCAGACTTTCACTTTATCTCCTTTAATTTCCAAGGAGTGCACATGTCGTGCTCTCTAACTCTTCCTTCACTCTACTTGTGAAGGGTCTGAAGCAGAATGTGTCGCCCAGTGTTGGTCTCCCTGTAGGTGAACGACCTCATTTCTAACTTCCTTTCTCTGCCTCACAGGCAGGCATTTACATTATAAATCATAATGTATAATCAAATAATGCTGTCTAACTTACATTTCTGGTGTTTTGCAAAGAGTCAGTGTTAAATACTGCTTAAGTGTGGCACATCCTCAGATTTAATTTAGGTTTACTTTTTACCTTTTTAACTTTTTTTTTTAAATTTAATCTTAGGTGTAATCCTGTGTTATATCTAGTTCAGTGTTTCCCAGACTTTTGATAAATGAAGCATGCTTTTCCTGAGGATTAAATAGTCAGCACCCAGCTGATATTCCAGAGCCACCCTGCCCTAGTCCAGTGCAGCTGGGCAGCACGCCTGACCCCCAGTTTGGTTCCTAAGAGCTTGGTAGGAAAGGGTGGACAGCGGCTCATGTAAGCTGCTACTGGTACAGTATACTCCCACCATTTATGTTGCATCTGTTGGAATCATTGATCTGGATTACTGGGCTACTGTGCAGAAGGATGCGACGTGGCTATCCTGTTACTTTGAGAGCTGTTGAATAATAATTCATGTTTGGGCAATGGGAATAGATTGTCAGGGCTTGTCAAGGCTTTCATTTTTTTTTTTAACCTCAAGAGGATGGATGCTCAGGCATAAAAGCAAATAGTCAGACAGCTGGAACAACTCATTTGTTCTTTTTCTGCATTTTTAAGATGTGTAGCAAGTATTTTATTGCCAATGTAAATGAGCTTATTGCATAAACATGGCACAGTTGCATCCCAGTTAGATGTGATCAATCGGTTTCAGAATTATGCAGTACTTTGGCATAATCTACTAAGTACACAGTAGGCTGAGCGTTCCAGATAAGCCCCTTTGAAATTATAATTTTATGGTGTTTCTCCTGGTGAACTGCTTCCACTACTAATTAGCTGTGTTTGATTTAGACTTTGATGGTCAGGCTGGGACTGTTAACATATGTTCCCTTCTACAAATATGATAGCAATTAAGACTTACTGATGGCACTAATGACCGTATATATGGTTAAGTATATTAACATGCAGGTCAGCTGGGCAACAATGATTGATGGTTTAAATATCTACTTTCAAAGTCAATTTATCTTATGTTTGTTTACAAATATTTACAGAAAGAATTGGATGTCATCGTGGGCAGTGTTACAAGGTTCATCACTCCTTTTCACTAAAACCCAAGGAAGTGGAACTGGCTGGGTAAGCTCAGGAACAGCCCCCACCCTCATTTAAGTGTTAATCATGTAAAGCAAAATGAATTAAAGCCCTCTTATTTGTAGGGCTTAAATACTGATATACATGCATAATTTAGAAAAAATCAGTGTGCGTAAGTTAGCAAGACATTAGTTTAATGTAACAATTATAATGTAGAATGAGAAGAAAACCAGTTGTACTTTCTTATATTTCAGAAACATTTTTATATTTGGTAAGTAAGAAACTGAGAGAGGGGTGTTCAGGTGCCCTGTAAGCTTGAAGTTTTTGCTCCAGGCCAAATGTTTTTGTGTTCCTTACTAATGTGTTTGTCTAAACTGTTTGTTCTACTGTCTTGGATATTTTTTTCATAAACTCCAGGTAATTTTGAATGTGGTACATGTAATAAAGAAAATAGTCTGACTCTTAGCTTGTTGCGTTGGACTATTTGAATAATGTAGCATTGTTGCCTTATCATTTAGTCTTCGCCTTGCTGGATTCCATATTTTGTTTTATATCTGCATAGTGCATGACAAGTATTTGTATCTATTTTGATGTCTGATGAAGACCTAAAGGGAAACATGACACTGAAGATGATGATTATTCAGTTTTTATATCATCTCTAGTTTAATAGCACTATAAATAAGTTGGCTATGTTTATTCAGCTGCATTGCTACATTAATAGGTATAGAAATGGTTCTTTATCTATGGCTTACTTACCTACTTTTGGAGGTCTAATGTTAAACTGTGTGGATCTCCTGTAATAACTGAAGAGGTCAGATTCAGTATTTGTTATTCCAGTGTATTATCATGCAAATTCCAGCAAAATTGCATCTTACGGATATATGCTATCTTGCTGTGTTTTGCTGATCTTTCTACTTGGCTCACTTTCTCCTGCTGAGCTTCTTTTTGGGTAGTGAATTGGTATTGACAATTCTTCTCTGAAGCTTTGAGTTCATTTCAGAGCTGTAAACATATTTTTGGCCCTTCTGCTGCTGTAGAAGGGGTGGTTGGAAAAAAATGGGTGAGGACAGATAAATAACAACATTGGGGTAGAAGAGAATGGAAAGAGTCAAGTTGGGCAAGATGGTCAAGCGGAAGGAAAAGAAAAGGGAAGGAAAAAGAATAAAGATTGAAGGCATGACATAAGGTAAACTATGCTGTCTGGTAGGAAGTGGACTGGGTGACCTAAGGTCTGCTCACACCGTATATGCGGAGGGGAAGAGAGTGTGGTGCACATCAGAGACAAAGCACAGAAAAAGGAATAGGAACTTACATATATCTGAAAGTTACTGACTTTCCCACCTGTAAACATTGCGACACTAGGTAAATATAATTACCATTATTCATCAGTGAGAAAAATACTGCCAATGAGAAAATGAACAGAACTTGTGGATTTTTTTTTTAATGTAACTTTTATAACAAAGTATGTTGAAGAAATATTGAAGAACCTTAAAAGGTAAGCTTTGAAGAAGGAAGTACTGAGATTTGGAAGGTTTTAAAACTCGTTCCCTTACCTTCCTTCATGCCCTTCAGCCGTTGTCTGTTGTTTAGTCAAGTTCAATTTCATCACCCTACTTCATAAAATGGAAGATTCCTAACCATTCTGAGGTGAGCTTTGATATTTAGTCTCAGTGCACAAAGAATACCATTATTTTTGCAGCACGCTAATACTGAAACTGATAACTTTTGCGATTTACTTTTATAGCTAAGGATCCAAAAAGTAGTTTAATTTTATAGGTATAGATATGCATGTTTGGAAAGTAAAACATTTCGCCTGAGTAACTAATCAAGTTCCAAAAACTTGATTACAGCTACTAATACTCTTAATCCAAATGTAGCTGTAGATCAAAAACCCCATTATTTTAACTACACGTTGATATCTTAAAACACACAGTGCTAAACTAAGATACTGTTTATGAATGTATGATACTGTTATGAATGAATGTATGCCCAGATGAATTATCCGTAAAAGATAGGCATGCAATTCTGCTTATTTCTTAGGGATACTAGTATAAGTTGTCGTGGGAGGCATAAATGCCTTTGATAATTTAAGTTGAGGAAAAGTATCATAGTCACAATATTTCTGTGTGAGACTGTCAGGTATGTGTACTGCCAAGTATTGGAGTAGGGTCAGCAAAATAAGTATCAACAGTATGAACAGAACAAAGTGAAGCTGGAAATATTAAGGGAGAACATCTTTCAAGGGCTTTGTGTTGTATACCTGCATACGTGCAGTTGGCTTTGTAAATACATAATTAAATACTCAGCACACGTTCTTTTTGCTCTCTGTGCAGGAATTTTTTTTTGGGGTGTTAAAAATTCCACTTCACCTCTCAAACTTTGATCTGTATCAGTAGTTTAATAAGGTGAAGTCAAGTCTAACAGTTTGACATATGATAAGAATTACATTTCTTCATCTTATGAGAAGAATATTTGTTTAGCATTTGTCTAGTGATTGATATAACCATATCTTTTTTTCTTTGTGCATTGTTTTGTGACTTCATCACTTTTCTTCCTTTTTCTCATCAAGTCATTTTGCCAAGGGGGCTCAATTCCTGAGCTCTTGCTCTCGCTGCTTTCTTCTTGGAAAAATGCTCTCAGTCGTCGACCTGCTGTCACCTATGTAAACTCTGCCCAAGTTTCAGCTATCACTGTATGTGTTCTTGTTGCATGCCTCTTGTCACTGTAAGGCTATTTGCCACTAACCTTGAAAGTAAATTTAAATTTTTCCAAGGTTTAAGTTTTGTCACTTCATATAACACCTTGGGTATCCTGTTTGCTGTTTTCTGAAAGTCATCCATGGTGCAAATTAACACAAATGTATTGCAATAATCCTGTAATTGTTCTAATGGAACAAAGCAGAAAGAGTATTTGGTTCATCAGTGCCAGAATTATAATCCCAAATTTGCCTACTACTTGAACTACTAGTGTCTTGACTAATAAACAGCATGATGTGGTCAGTTTTTTAACAGATATTTTATGTCTAATTCTTTCTAATGCAGCTAACTTGGGATGCTTGTAAGGTGCCTATGGTGCCTTTGATACAATGATGTACATGCTGTTGATTAATTCTAGTTATAATTGGAATACCCAAAAATGTAAATGTTACGCATAAAAAGCTGAAAGGAAAGGAGCTCAAGGATGTTCTAGCTATATGCCGCATACAGAAAGCTGATGTAAAATTTTATATATATATAACTTAAGCACCTGTAGTTAGTCATGTTTTGAAGTGTAGATGCCAAGCATAGAAATGCTGCCTATCAGAAACTGATAAAATGTTGGTAGCTAATATGGTAGCTTGTTGCTCAAGATGGATGAGCAGGAATTTAGATAATGATACTAGTGTTAGAAAAAACAAACAGCCTTGACTGGTTGTATAATTGTTTTTTAGTATCGCTTTCTCAGCACTCTTATCAGAATCAAACTAAAGCTTTCATAGAAAAAAATCATATGCTGAAGACATTAAAAGCACTGTTTCCATAATTTGACTTCTTGAGGATTTTAAAGTGTTGGTGATGTGTAGAACTATTTTGGTATCTTGGCTTGTATTTCCTGAAGAGTGGAGAGAGAGCTATATGTTTTGAGTTTAGTTAAGATTCCTGAGACTTCTAGAATGACCATTTTGATGACCAGTACCTTAATTTTTTTTTTTTTTCTTGTAGAGGGGAGTAACTGTAGGCTTATTCAATTAACCTTGTGCTAAAAATGAGGCAACTGCCTTTTCTTTGTCTGTCAGATTCATTGCTATTTATGTGGAAGCCTGGAAGAGATAATTTGTACACAGTTTGGTATCCTTTAAAATGTTACTTTTTATAAGGAAATCTGGATTTTTTTTTTTTTAATATGTCTTTTCACGGAAATTTAAATTTTCAGCTGTTGAAAGAAGGTCTCTCAACTTTTGGTGTGAATGAGTCGTAATAGCTATTGCCAAATTTTAGTGATGGGGCTTCATAAAACACAGCAAATGGTAACTGCTTAGAAGGATTCATCTGTCAGCCTTCTGTAATAGGCGCGTGTCCTCGGTGTCAGGTACAGTGGTGGTAAACCAAAAGTGGGTGAACTTCTCAAACATCAAGGAAATAAATGCTCTTCAAGGTTCATCTGGGCAAACTCTTGTTTACTGTGTTATACCACTGTGTTTATAGCCAAGGATGTTACATGTACATTACTACAGTTCATCAGTATTGCACAGCTGATTATATAGGAGCTCAGATGATTATCATGAAAACTATTTGGAATGCAAATACTCCTATCGGAGCCTGGCTTCAAAAAACTTCCATCATTTTGCTATGACGATAAAGAATGTATTTTTCTGGTTTTGTTAAAGGAACTTCCGAACTCACAGCTTTACCAGCCACAAAGGAGCATCAGTCTCCTCAGCTCTATTTCTGCAGTCCATGGGTGGATGAGGAGGACTTGGAATTAAAATGTTCTACCTCACTCTAATTAGAAACAGAATTATGAGAATGGCAGGTGTCACTTGTACATCCAAAATCTTCCCATAAATAACACCCAGTTCTATTTCCAAAAAATGCTGGAATATATCACAATACAGACTGCGTGGCTTGTCCTATGGAGGCTTCCAGGACTTGGAGAAAACTCCGGAAAAGATTGAAAAGGCCTTCTATTTATTGGTGTCAGCACACATCTTCAAGGCAGTCCTTAAGCTACACAGCATCTACTATGTCTGAACTAAGCACTTCCCCCTCCATTCTTTCAAAAAACGTAGAAGTTATCTCTGCCATAGAAATATCATAAGCACACCCCATGACTACACTTCTTTCCTAGAAAAAGCTGTCAGAAGTGACTCTAGGACAGCTTCATATCTAGGACAGCTGGCAGTGCCACGTGTAGACCTCTCCCTCTTTCTGTCTCATGCTGCTGTCCTTTCTATACTTCCCAGACAGCTCAAAAGAGAAATCCAGTAAGAATAAGGTGTCTGCTCAGTAAGAACTGAATTTATTCCGACTAGCGCTGACTTGGCACTGCACTCTGTTTTGAGAAAGCAGACTTTAAGTCTAGGTGGCAGCAGATGCTAGAGGAAAAGGTTTTCTTTTTACTGCTCCCAACCAAACCTACGTGCTTGCAGTGTGGTTTGATTGCCTTTAGCTAACCTTCGCATGCAGGGCGTCTGAGCAGCCCTGTACAGGACTTGCGCCTCAGAGGTTTCAAGGAGGGAAATGGCTGCTGGCATCTCATGTTCATCCACCCGGGAGCAGAAGAGAACCTTGACAGGAAAGCTCATAGGAGAGACTGAATGGTAAACTTAGAATTTCCTTGAACAACGAAGTTAACTTTGTGATGAGTATATAATACATTGATATATCAGAGGAGCTTTGCAGAGAGGCTGGATTGTTTGCAGGGCTTTCCTCATCCTTGGATCTCACGTGGCGGTTTGGGCACTGCTTGTGCGAAAGAGCGGGGGAAGACTTTTTTTTCCCCCTCTGAGAAATTTAGCTTCTAGTTTTTGGTTTGTTCTGTGCTGCTTTGAAATGATGAAGGGATTCAGGCCAAAAACATGGGTAGAGTGCAGAGGTGTTTGAGGTACTACTGTGATCTGTCAGGCGGGGAGTTCAGCAAGCTGCTGTATTGAAGTGTTCTCCTTTTGGTCAAAACAGCAGTGTGACTGTTACATTTTTTTGTTGTTATTTCTTGATTTCATCTGTAACGGGTCATCTCCTGTGCTTCTTGGCATCATCTGGGTGGTGTTCTTAAGGAATCCCCTCTAATCCTGCAGAGGACTTTGGCACTAGTCTCCTGCTCTCTCCAGTGCCAAATTCTATAAATTGATTTCCCTCCCCCCCCCCATATGCAGCAAGATTGTTGTAGGCGGTCAGGAAGCGCGTGGCTGGGGCACTTCGGTTGTGTGTGAAGCAGTTATGTGAATCTCTCTTCAACAGGCAGCTGCTGCATAGCTGCCTACAACTGCAAGAACCATAACGGCCCAGAGATTGTTCCCGTTCCTGTGGACCCCGCTGCTGAGCTGGGCCTCTCTCAAAAGCTCTGCTATAATTAATAAGAAATGTTCTTGGGTGAGGTATGTGAGAATTAAGTTAGAAAGCTGAAGGTTCGCCCGTCCCACGCCACGTGCTAGGTGGCATTGGGTAAATTAGGAATATTCCTCTATTCTGATATTTCACGTGTAAAATAAAGAAGTTAAGATTCTGTTTTCCATTCAGCACTTAATTGCCTTTAGGACTCAAGGCAGGGAGATTTTCCAGTGGTAAACAGCCTTTCTAAAACACAATTAGCATTAATTAACATCCATGCTGGGAATTTAATCAGAAGCAGCAGATTAGTTCTGTTTTCTGAACCGTCTTTTCTCCCCTTGGATATGGCTGTTCTTGTACAGGCTGGAAACTCATGTTCGCAGCAAGGAGCTTGTCCTGGGGCTTACGTCCCCCAGAGCTTTCACACGAACAGCATTCGCACATCAAAGACTTTCTAAAGAAATAGAAAAGAACCTTTCTGATGGATCAGATGCTACAAGCTTCCCTTAAAACTACAGCATTAAATTTCTGTGCTACAGCCAAGTGACTTAAGCTTTCCTTGTTCCGTGTTTTACTTATTTTGCTAACAATTAGAGCTTTTATTTTGTATGGGTCACTGAATTGGTTTCCTTAAGGAATAATATTTCAAAGCTATGTGGTGTTGGTTGAAACCCCAGTAAAAGTACTTTATTTTAAAAATTGTGATACCTAGTCTAAATGTGAAAGTAGTAGGTAAAAATAGCTCCCTGGTGTTTTCCTCCAAATTGTTTGAAGGGTTGCTTGTGGGTTAAATTTTTTTTTTGTTCTAATCACTTTGGTCATTTGCTCTTTGTTTAGTAGCGAGACAGTGAAATTGAGTTCTGTTTGCTTGCTAGGATATGCTCCTGTATTGCAATAGAAGCACTACAGAAAAATATAAAATAATGTGAAAAGCATTGTTGGAAATGTGTGTGTGTGTGTGTGTGTGTGTGTCTGTGTATATATATACACACACATATGAAATACATATCTTATGAAAATGTAAAAACAAAGTGCTCTTTCAGTGCAGGAGGGATGTGACTCCTATCTAGCAAAGCTACTATTTCTGGTTTGATTTTTGGTTTTATATACAACCATTGATTAACTGACAGAATGGGGTTTTTTTGTTCAGTTACTTGTTAGCCAGTTTTATTTAAAGTTTGGGACTATCTTGACTAAAATCAAGCTACAATCAAATGCTGTATGGACTTCTGCCATTTGTGATAGGGGAAAAAAAAGCTCTGCTGGAATCTGGTTGGCATTTAAAGTTATGGAATTTTAAGGGCTTTAAGCTGAGCAGCTTTTAGTAGGCATGCTTAAAGGGTGTTTTGTTTGTTGTTTGTTTTTTCTTCGCCTGGTATCCTGTCTGTTGATTTGTGGCAAAGTACTGTATTTGGGACAAGTTGTACAGAGTGTAAATAATGTATGTAATATTTAGAGGATTGTAAGACTGTACCTTTTAGGAGTTTGTTTTTAAGCTTGTCATCGTTGTTCCTTTTTTTCCAGAAGTTTGGTGTCAATCAGTCTAAGCCAGAATTTACAGTGGATCTCAAAGGAGCATTGATTGACTGGGCCTCAAAGGACAAATCCAGCAAAAAGAATGTTATTGAGGTGAAATATTTTATTTAAATGCAGAATTATATGTACTTTAATTAATGACTCTAAGAAATTTTCCTTAAAATCAAAAACTTTAATTGAATTTTTGACATTTCTTCCTGCTTAGATGTAGATGTATCTTAGTACCTGCAAGAAATGTCCATTTTTAATATGTCTGTAAGGGGTATTCTTTTAAATTTTAAGCAGACTGTTACTGTTTTCACTGGTAAGTGTTCTTGAGTGTCTATATGTTATCTAAAAGTTATGCCAGGGAGAAGTTTAATTTGATTTAGGTAATTTCACTTTTGAATTCCAGTGTGTTTATCAATTCTGATGATATCTGTTTTTATTTCTTTAAAGCTAAAAACCCGCCAAGGAACTGAGCTCTTAATTCAATCTGATAACGATGGCTTTATTAATGAATGGTATAAAGTTCTTAACTACACCATCAACAATCAGGTATGTGTTTGAATCATGAAGGCTGTATTTTCAGGGTAATGTTATTTAGTAAAATAAGTGATGTAACGACTCTTAGTGCTTCACATATGTCTTAATTTCCTGGTTTTCTTGAGCATGGGCAGGAGGTTGAGGATATGGCAGTTCCTGGTGGTGACAAGTGAAATATAACGAATAGTGGTAAAGGAAGAAGGATGGTCCACTGGATTAAGAACCAGGAGATGTGGGCTGACCTCCAGCTCAGAAATGAGCCTCCTTCTGTGGCCAAATACTTGTTCTGTCTCAGTGACCTGAAAGGTTCTGATAGAGAGGGAGTAAAGGGGGAAGGGTGGACAAGGGAGAGCATCGTGACATATCTTAATCAGCATTTGATACTGCTATTCACTTAATAAGGCTGCACTCCAATGCAAATTAAAAGCCCTGGCAAAATACTGTATTATCTCCTCTTATCAGACAGCATAATGCCAACCGTTTAATCCACAGAAAAGTGATCAAGCATTTGCTCTTGATATTGCCAAACAAGATTTACCATCTTTGAATTCAGAAGAAGTTGGAGGAGATCTTGGAGAAAACATGCCTCATATCAAGTTGACTTCATGTGTATTCTTAATTTTTATAGTTACATGCCTGGCTGCTGCCCGTAAGCTGCATTTATGTTGCTTTCGATGTCAGTCAGTGGCCTTCATTTCTCTTAGCTCTGATAGTGTTTTCCACATATGGGTGTTTTCCACCCAAACACAGCAGGCTAATATGAATGGTTTAGTTTCTTTCTGAGTTCTAATCTTCTGGTATGAAAATGCCATGACCTTTATAACCAGGCAAGGCAGCCAGTCAGCAATACCCTTCTCCTGTCTGCCCCGTGTAACGCAACTAAGGCCACTTTTTCCCTGCTTAAATATAAACGAAGATGGAAAGGCTGAGATATAGCTGAGAGTGAGGTATTGCATGTTAGGTTGAGGAAGCGAGTGGTGGAATGGGGAGAGTTTATCACCACTCCAGAGCAAATGGTGATGTATTACTACTGGGAGCTGCTAGCCGAGAGGCCTAAGATTACAAGGGAAAGTTCAAAATGTACATTATTACACTACCTGATAATTTGGAGCACTAAAGCTTTGGCTACAAAAATCTATCAGATCTGAAGCAAACTTCTAATTTTGAGAACTCTATGATAATAGTAGCTGTGAGTCTTTTTCCCAGGACAGCTATGGCTAGTTGTAGTGTGATGAGATCTTCCTCAAAAGAAGGTACATCTTAGATTTGATCTCTTTGCTCCTTCAGGCTGCTGTTGTGGTAATATACTGTATAGGAGGAATAGCTATCTGTGAAAGATGTGGCTGCTCTTTTTTACATACAGAAATTTCCAAGTTATTAGATTAGACTTGTTCCGTAATACAAACTAATCCCAGGTGATTTTTCCAAAGCAATTAATGTGTTTTAAATTTAACAGTCCTAAAAAGCCTTGAGGCCTCTTAAAGAGAGCACTGTCCAAATGGTCTCAGTGGCAGAGGGGTCCTTAGCGGGGGCATTAATCAGGCAATGGAATATATTGATCTTTGATATGTAAAAAGGCTATCCAAAGCTTTTGAAAAGCAACAGGGAATGAGAATTCTTTAAAGCCAATGTTAGCCCTTCAAGTTAAAAGTGCAACTTAGTCGATGAAGTCATGCTTCTGCTCGTTGCTGCTCTGGAGTACGCAGCCTTGCCTTATTTTTTAAAATGTCCTTCCTTGTACAAAAGACTCTGTACTGTCAGATTTTTGTAACTGCCTAGAAGCCAAGTTCACTTTAGTAGAAGCGAAGTAAGAAACGTGCAATTTTGGAAGGGGGTATGTTGCGCTGAGACCAGAGGAAGTTTCTTTTCCTATTTATTGATACGTCTGAAGTCATGTGTGTAGCATAGGTATGAGGCTGCAGGTGGGCAGTTTCACAGACTCTGGCATCTGCCTCCGCACGCATGATCTACATTTTCTCTTGACTCTGTTTAATGAGAATATGCTGAGAGCAATAACACAGGGCAAGGATTTTAGGCCCTGGTGTATTTGCTTTCTCAGAATGAATTCAGTGTGTGTTTTGACAGTGGTGAAAGTTTGCAACTGGCAGTTCTATTTTCTGTCACAGAAAGTTCTAATTACAGAAATGAGAAATAGGGTAAATGCCCTAGAAGTGTTTTGTAGACCCTGTTAATCAGGTGCTTCTGTAGCAGACCATGTAAATGAAATAGCTGATGATTGTCTACTGGACTTGAAAAAACATTAATATTGTTTATTAGTTGATGTAATGAACTTCTATCATGAAAGGCTGGTTGTACTTTGTTCAGTGTCCAGCAAAAGTTTCTTTATTGGGTCTTACGATCAAATAGTGTTTCTCAAAGTTATTCACTCTGCCAGTGAGAATGGCTTTATCTCTGAAGATATTTTTAGCGTCTAGAGTTCAGGAAAGAACCAACTGAGTATCATTATAGGGGAAAACATGTATATTGTAGAACTGTCTACAGGAAATGTGTTCGTTAATGCTATATTCTAGGAATTGGTAACCTGACCACTGTAACTTCTTAAATCTAATAGGTAGTAGAGTCTGATGAAGCATTAGAAGATGATGTACCAGATTCCCCTGGGGTGGAAAAACAAGACAAAGAGAAAGAGAATAAAGACTCTAAGAAACTTCGTTGTGAGTTGACAATTTTCCGTGAATTGATTTTAGCAATTCCAATTTTTATTTTTTGCATCTTGAGTATTATGTGTAAATAGAGAAGAATTCAAACAGACAGTTAAAAAAATGAAACTACTCATGTTTGGAAACAGGCTTTGATATAGTTCATTCTGCGTCTTGGTGCCAGTTAGTAAGTTTTCTTCCATGTTTTATTAATCATACTTAAAAAAGAGGGGGGGGGGGAAATCACCAAATGTCTGTAGCTCCTGCTGTATGACACATGAAAAACAGGAGAAAATAGGTAGTAGTGAAACGGATTATTTTCAAGGTATTGTCAAATGTACAGAAGTAATTAGGGTTTTTTTTTCCCTCTGACTTTTTGTAAATGGTTTTGTATAAGGATCCTTTGTCCTTTTACATGTTCATGCATAGAATTGTTTTACTTGTTTTTTGTCTGTGGTACAGCACTATTAACTTCAACTGCAATTTTGCTAAGTTGCTAATGAGGTTATGTTGGCTCATTGAGAGAAACGAAACATTTTTAATTACATATTGAGAATTTTAGAGTTAAATTTCTTTTAGCCACAGAAATTGCTTCCTATGCACAGAAATATACTAATCAGACAGACTATTTTGTCTTTTATTTCCGGGCCTTAAATGTAATTTGCAAGAAAGTATTTATTTCTTTTAAAATAGTTAAATTAATGGAAGGCAGGACTGGTTTTGAAACATAGCTATGTCTTTAAAATTCTACATCAATTACATTTGTAAACTACTATTTAGTTAGTTTTGCAGGTAAACTTGGTTTTACAAGTTTTTTTGTGACAGGGTTGTTTCTTGGTGGTTTGAAAAATGGGTGGTATTTACAAGGAGTTCCAAAAAGTTAAGGAAAAAAATTTGGATGCAATGCAAATTTGAATAGTGGGGGTTTTATGTAGTTTTGAGCTTACTTTTTTTGTTATGTTGGTTCCTTGGCAAATAAATGCAGCGTTTGGTTCTGTGGGTGTTCACGCTAAATGCATTTCTCCTTTCAGCAGTGAAAGCACCTAGCAATATAGATTCTACAGATCAGAAAAAGACCAAAACGAAGCTCAAGAAGTTTCTTACACGGCGCCCTACGTTACAAGCTGTCCGTGAAAAAGGCTACATTAAGGGTAAATGAACCTTTTTAACAAAGGAAATAATTTGAAAAGCTGAATTTAGTAGTTGATGTGTAAAATGGGGTTAAAATGGTCTAGTTTTAAACACATGTATATAGCTGGTTTAACAAAATGTATAGTGGATGTATAGTGGAACTGGTGATTGATTGTCATTGTTTTGAGCACTGCTACTAGCCACTAAACTTCATGAAGGATGTCCTCTCCTTCAGCTCATTACTGGCAAAACTGCAGTGAAAATTGAGGGTCCAGGAGCCTGTTTGGGCTTGGAGTGCTTCTTAGCTAGAGAGTCCATTCGGTCTGCTGCTCTGAGCTGGAAACTTCAGATAGCCGATAATCATTTGTGCATACAAGGGAAAGAAAAGCCCTTTGGGTACAAAGCTGAATGCATGTGCTCATCTGTTTCACAAGGGTGTTTTAGTCCGAGTGGAACCAGACAATCATGTGCCACCTCATAAGAAATGAAGTATTTAAGCAAACCGGGGTGAGGCTAAAGGAATCTTAACTTAAACATCTTTTTTCCCATAACCTTTTTTGAATGTATACATTTTTTAATTGTTTGACAAACAATGAGTCTTACAGATACTCTTGAATCAAACTTATGAAAGACTTGATTTCCATTTGTCACACTTGTTGAAACTTTGAGAGAACAGTATTTGCACAGGTTTAAGTTAATGTGTTTGTGTAAATTATTGACTTGATACTCGCTGTAAAACTTCATTTATTTATTTATTTGTATGCTTTAGCAGGACTTGTAGATGGTGCTCTTCTAGGGTCAAAATAGCATATGGGTAGGCAAATATCAGACCAAATCCTACTGTGATTTGCCTAACTACATACTTTAACAGGTGTGCTTCTGTTGCATGTGGCGTTTGATATATTTGTGTATCTGCAAATATAATTTAACTGTAAATGATAAATCTTTTTGTTTGGGATCAGGAGGCATTATTTCCAGACTGACGTTTTGCTCTGCTTTACGGCTTAGTATTCATGTCATGGCTCAGTGACGTAACTTCCGACATTAGCAACAGTGATCGCTAAGCCGAGTTTAATTTGTACACGTGCGTGCTGATGATTGGATTTTTTAATAAAGATGTTAAGGAATGGAGAGTTTGTTTTTATTTAAAAGCATGGTGTAAAGTCTAAAAGCTGGATCAGCGGTGTAGAGTTTTATGCTTACTGTATGAATGAAAAATACAGAAGTCTTTATTTAAAAGCCCAGCATACTTTTGTGGCTGCTACAGAACAAGCTTAGTAAACAGAAGACTTGACAAACCTAGTATGAGCAGAAAAAACAATGAAAAGTTCTAGGAAAAAACCCACTTGAAACAGCATGCACTAAGCAGAGAAGTACCTGTGCTAAAGTTTTATTACATGGAAAAACAAAATTACGAAAGTTACTTAAGATGAGAGGAAAAAATAGGATTCCTGTATATGTGGAAATTGTTAAAGTCAGAGGCAGTTGTAGCAAATCAGTTCTCCAGCTAGTATTTTCCTGTGCTACCTAATCTGCATTGCTTTACCTGCTACAGCTGCATGCTAGCCTGGCTTTCTACTGCGTGGACTTTTTCAGTCCCTTGCTACTGATTCTGCTTATACAGCTGGCTGTGTCAGTAGCAGCAGCAGGACTGAGGTGTTTTGGGGGACTGGCCTTGTACGCATACAACTAATAATGCCACTATATGCCAGTTTTCCTACTGTATAATTGGTTTGGTGTGCTGTTTGGATTTCCCAAAGCAGTAGTCAGATGCAAGTGTTGTTAATGAATCTGCTTAAATTACTAAACATGAAAAATGGGCTAGATGCTATGCATGATGCAAATGCAAGAACCGTTTCTATCTTGCATAAGCTCTGAAGTAGGATCTACTAGATACTGCGAAGATGGGCACTTACATACCTTATTTAACAGATTAAAAAAAACAAACCCACCACAGCCTTTCTTTCCTTTAAGAGTGTGAGCTTTGCCTCTCTATCTCAAGACCCTATTTCAGTCTCATGCATCTGAACAGGGGAGGTCATCTATTATTTGGGCACCTTTGATGAAAACCATAGAAATGGGTCTGAGAAAGATTTTGGTGATAACATAACCTGAACAAGAGGAGTTAACCTGAACAAGAGGAGTTAACATGTTGCTGAAATACACTGAGACATTACAAGAATCTGTTCTCTGCCCAAGCTGATTTTCATTTTTGCACCACTTTGATAGAAAACACTCCCTTTGGATTGTGTAGTTTTGAAAACAAAAACCAAAATAACCTTTGCCCATAAATACCTGTATTTAGATTCCAGCCTTGCAGCCACGTTGCCTATGCATAGTCATACTTGCATCCATTTAGAGCTCTGTGATATAAGGGTCTTTCATTTACAAATTCATGTCAGAACTTAAAAATGTTAAAAGTTAAAGGCTCTACATTAAAGTAAATTAATATGTAATGCTGGGTTAAACAGTAGGTGCAATGAAAGATGAAATTTTACATGTTTTTTTTCCCCAAGCAATGCCAAAAGCTTTCATATTGGTTAAAATTTATCATCTCTGTTCAGATTTTTAACAAAGATTACAGTAAATGTATTTTGAACTCAGAACAGGAACGGAGTGTAACAGGATATTTGAATCCATTAAATTTCTCATTTATAGTGATGACTATATGACTCTTACAAGTATCTCCTGATGGGTTAAAATAATTTCAGCAGCAAAGTTCCATACTCAGACTCCCGTTTGGGTACGATGCCACCA